GACTGAGCCCAACAAAACCATAGAATCAGAGATGCCTGAAGCCCTGGGGGCCTAACCCCTTGTCCCAGTGTGCCCAGGATGTGGGACATGTGGTCAAAGGAGATTATTCTGGCATCTTAAGATTTAATATTATTTCCCTCTTGGGTTTTAAACTTACTGGAGACCAATTACCTCTTTCTTCTTACTTATTTCTTCCTTTTGGAATGGGAATGTTTGTCTTATGTTTGTCTCACCATTGTACTTTAGAAGTAGATAACTTGTTTAATTTCTCAGGTTCACAGCTAGAGAGAAATTTGCCTCAGAAGAATAGTGCCTCGAGTCTCACCCATCATATCTGATTTAGATGAGATTCTGGACTTTAGACTTTTGAGATGATACTGAAACAAGTTAAGATCTTAGAGCCAATGGGATAAATGAATGCATTTTTCATGTGAGAAGGACATGAATTTTGGAGGCCAGGGGCAGAACGGTATAGTTTAATGTGCCCCCCAAAGTTCATGTGTTGAAAATTTAATCCTCAGTGCAACAGTGTTGAGAGGTGGGACCTTTAAGAGGTGATTAGGTCATAAGGGCTCTGCTTTTATGAATAAATTAATGTCATTATCATGGGAGTGGGTTCCTGATAAAAGGATGTGTTCAGCCCCCTTCTCTCTCTCTCATGAGTGCTCTCTCGCCCATCCACTTTGCGCCCTGGGCTGATGCAGCAAAAAGGCTCTCATTAGATGCAGGTCTCTTGACCCTGGATTTCCCAGCCTCCAGAATTCTAAGAAATAAATCTCTGTTCTTTATAAATTACCCAGTCTCAGGTATTCTGTTACAGAAACACAAAATGAATGAAGACATATCATCTATATACTAATCTGAAACATTAATAAAAATGTTAACAGAGATCCATAACATTAGTTTTATCACCCATTAGTTTATCGTCTAGGTAAGTACAGACATTTAATTTAGCTTCATTTTCATCCTATTTATTTTGTCCACAAATGCAGTAAGTATGAGAACCTTGTAAAGACTAGATTATGCCAACATGTCCTTCATTAAAACCACCCTTAAAGAGAACCTAAAAACAACAACTCACCCTTCAATAGCTGGAGATCTGTCAGGACGAGTACTTCCTCGAGATCTGTATCTCCGAGTCACTGGCAGCCGTGGAGGCCGACTTGGTCCCCAGAAGTCAGTGTGAGTTTGAAGACCCCTCTCACTGGCTCTATTATCTTGGTCCAGTGGACTGCTACTTAGAAATGGTCTAAAATCTTGGAAAAACATTGTGTGATCCAAATGGTCCCAGAGCTATTAAAAACCAGAAATAAATCACGTTAGGAAAAAGGAATCAATAAACATCTGGATTTTTTCAAGTTTTCTGTGATTATAAACAGCAACTGTGAACATTATTGTATGTGTCTCTTGCTGCAGAAGTACAAGAGTTTCCTTATTAGTAGTCAGTACAACTATTATATGGTCTATACATCTTCAACTTTACTAGGTAATGCTAAATTGTTTTGAAAGTAGTTGTACCAATTTACACATCCACCAAGAGTGCTTAAGAGTTTCCATTGGGCCACATCCTGGCAATCTGGTGGATAGAGAATGATGTCTCATTGTGAAGTCTTTTTTTGTTTTTGGTGAGTTTTGGTTTGTTTTGTTATAAGAACCAATAGGAGGGTTTATTTAAAATACATATTCTTTGGTCCTATGCCTGAAAGTAAATATAGGTCTGTGGTGAGCCTGAAAGACTCCCTTTAACATTTCTTGTAGGGAAGATTTGTTAATAATGAACTCCCTCAGCTACGGTTTATCTGAGTATGTCTTGATTTCTCCTTCACTGATGAAAACTAGTTTAGCCAGATTTTTTTTTTTTTTTTTTTTTTTTNAGTCAAGGGTTGAGATCCCCTTACCGGTCATCTTTTAAAAAAAAAAAAAAAAGAAAAGAAAGTACCCACAAGAAGGGAAAGTGACAGAAGAGGTAAATCAAGAAAATGCACTAACATGGAGGTCAAAGTAGTAGAGAATTTCAAGGAGGAAGAAAAAGGCCAAAAAAGTTGAATTCAGTGAATAGGATCCATAAAATAAACATTTTAAAGTATCCACTGGATCTGCAATTAGAAGGTCATCAGGGATTTTAGTGAAAGGTGGGCCACACTATAGTAGATAGAGGAATAATGGGAGATGAGAAAGGACACAAAGTAAACACAGATGCCTCTTAAGAAATGTAATTAAAATGAAAAGGAATGAGATTGGGCAATAACCAGAGCTGTGATTCTCAACACTGGCTACAATAAGAATAACCTCAGGAGCTTTTAAAAATTATCAATGACTGAACCTCACCCCAGACTAATTAAATCACAGTTGGGGGTGGAAGGGAATCAGTATTTTTTATTTTATTTTATTTTATTTTATTTTGTTTTTTTTAAAGATGACTGGTAAGGGGATCCTAACCTTTGACTTGGTGTTGTCAGCACCACACTCTCCCAAGCGAGCTAACCAGCCATCCCTATACAGGGATCCGAACCCGTGGCCTTGGTGTTATCAGCACCACACTCTCCCAAGTGAGCCACAGGCCGGCCCGGATCAGTATTTTTTAAAATACCCTTAGTGACATTAATGTACAGCCAGACTAAAAACCACAGAACTAAAGGGTAAAAAGGGTGGTTGAGGGGCATAAAGGGGGAAAAGGGAGCAGGAAGAGGAAAACAGATGAAACAAAATCCCAGAAAAAATAGGTAAGGAAAGTTTCAGGAACATGGGCTGACAGGCTTGCTTGCAAAAAAAAAAAAGAAAGGAAACTTCATCTCAGGAGACTGGAGGGAGAAAGCAGTGTTAATATAGAGAAGCTGAACAACACAGGGATTCAGGGGTTCATATGTAAAGCCCCAATTTTCATTTTTTTAAAAAGTTTATTAATTTTTTTTTACATTCTATGATGCTGCAGAGCAGTTGGGGGAGGGGTGAGGGAGGGGGAAGGAAATAGGACAGGAAAAGGAGGATGGAGGAGGGGCAGGGTTGAGGCCTGTGGCACCCCCCTCATTCCTGCAGGGGAGAACAGGGGACTTCCAGCAGTGGCTTGGTCATTGCTGAGCTGGATGCAGATGTCAACAAGGTGTGGCTGAAGCCCTCAACCCCCTACAGCACCAGCTCGGGAGAGCCAGAGCCCCAATTTTCATAATGGAGTATAAGTCAGCTGCTGAGAATCAGCTATTGGATTGGAAATTTTAGAAAGTGAAGTTTGGTGAAAATGCAAAATATTTTCTGAGGGAATACAAAACAAGAGACTAATCAAAAGCAGTGACAGTCTTATGGAGATTAAACGCACCTTACTATTCATAGGGGCACCAATGGACACATTTATGTGATCTTCTCCAGCAGTGCTTAACCATCTCCTAGTAGGAGAGCAAGGAAAAGTGGATCAAAGCACTGATCCAGAATTGGCAGTTTAATGGGTGGGAGGGGGAAAAAAAATAACACTGGAGGGAAGAGTTTAGATGAACTATAATTGGGAAGCTCAACAATGGGGTCCCAAACAGGTAGAGAAGGGAAAGTAATCTACATGCACTTTAACAGGTGGAAGACATGGTGGATTTACCTCTGGGCACCATAAGCTATTAAAACACTAAGATTCCACAGATTTTTGTCCCAGACAATCGCATTAAATCTGATTTCCCACATCCTGTATTTGCCTAAGAAGGAATGTCTGCAACTAACTTTGAAATTCAAAAAAATAAGATGAACAATGGACAGATAGATGTGCACATATGTGACAAAACAAGTATAATAAAATGTTAATAGTAAAGTCTAGAAGGAATATGGGGGGAGGGGGTGTTGGGGGATTGAAAACACTAGAACAGCACTGCCCAATATGACTTCCTCAGAGGACAGTAATGTTTTATAACCTGCGCTGTCAAATATGGTAACTACTAGCTACATGTGGCCACCGAGCCCTTGAAATGTAGCTAGTGGTACTGAGTAATTTTGAATTTTGAGTTTTATTAACTTTTAATTAATATTAATTTAAATTTAAATTTATATAGCTACATGTGGCTAGTGGCTGCCACATCAGACAGTGCAGCACTAGATTCATACAGCCCTAAGTTCAAGACCTGGATCCAACACTGGATATTACTTTATTTCTCTAACAGTTTGTTCTTATATAAAATGATAAGGGCAATAGTATCTATTACTTCATACAGATTAAATAAGATAAAGCAGACAAAGCATAAAGCACAGTCCTACACATATGGCAAACACTTAAAATTAATGTTTATTATTCCTACTAAATGGGGTGCATGAGATCAAGAACCACCACCTGTTTTGCTCACCAATGTTTCCTCAGTGCCTAGCACAGTGCCCTATACATAAAAGACACTCAATAAAGATTTGTTGCATGAATGTTTTTATAGTCACAAGACTTTACATTTATCTTATTAAATTTCATATTAAGTTCATTGCTCCAATCTGTTGAAATCTTTATGAATCCTAATGCCGATCAATATATTTGATATCCCTTTTAGTATCTTCTGAAATTTGATAAACATATTGCTATGATTTGAATTTGTCCTCCAAATACATATGTTGGAAACTTAATCCCCAATGCAACAGTGTTGAGAGGTGGAACCTTTATGTGGGTTCCTAATCAAAGTATGTGTTTGGCCCCATTCTCTCTCTCTCACATGTGCTCTCTTGCCCTTCCACTGTCCACCCTAGGCTGATGCTGCAGGAAGGCCCTTGTCAAGTGTGCGCCCCTCAACCTTAGACTTCCCAGCCTCCAAAACTCTAAAAAATAAATCTCTGTTCCTTATAAATTAGTCAGTCTCATGTATTTTGTGACAGTAACATAAAATGGGCTAAAACAGGCGATTGGTACCAAGAAGTGAGGCTGTTGATGTAACAAATACCTGAAAATGTGGAAGTAACTTTGAAACTGGGTAATGGGTAGAGACTGAAAGAATTTGGAGGAGCAGGCTAGAAAAAGCCTAAACTGATGTAAATGGAGCATGAAAGGCAATTCTAGAGAGGGCTCAGAAGAGAACTGTAGGAAAAGTCTGGAACTTCTTAGAGATGAGTTAAGTGGTTGTAATCAGAATGCTGATAGAAATATGGACAGTGAAGGCCATTCTGAGAAGGTCTCAGATGGAACTGAGGAACAAGGTATTAGAAACTGGAGTAGAGGCCATCAACCACCACCTGTTTTGCTCACCAATGTTTCCTCAGTGCCTAGCACAGTGCCCTATACATAAAAGACACTCAATAAAGATTTGTTGCATGAATGTTTTTATAGTCACAAGACTTTACATTTATCTTATTAAATTTCATATTAAGTTCATTGCTCCAATCTGTTGAAATCTTTATGAATCCTAATGCCGATCAATATATTTGATATCCCTTTTAGTATCTTCTGAAATTTGATAAACATATTGCTATGATTTGAATTTGTCCTCCAAATACATATGTTGGAAACTTAATCCCCAATGCAACAGTGTTGAGAGGTGGAACCTTTATGTGGGTTCCTAATCAAAGTATGTGTTTGGCCCCATTCTCTCTCTCTCACATGTGCTCTCTTGCCCTTCCACTGTCCACCCTAGGCTGATGCTGCAGGAAGGCCCTTGTCAAGTGTGCGCCCCTCAACCTTAGACTTCCCAGCCTCCAAAACTCTAAAAAATAAATCTCTGTTCCTTATAAATTAGTCAGTCTCATGTATTTTGTGACAGTAACATAAAATGGGCTAAAACAGGCGATTGGTACCAAGAAGTGAGGCTGTTGATGTAACAAATACCTGAAAATGTGGAAGTAACTTTGAAACTGGGTAATGGGTAGAGACTGAAAGAATTTGGAGGAGCAGGCTAGAAAAAGCCTAAACTGATGTAAATGGAGCATGAAAGGCAATTCTAGAGAGGGCTCAGAAGAGAACTGTAGGAAAAGTCTGGAACTTCTTAGAGATGAGTTAAGTGGTTGTAATCAGAATGCTGATAGAAATATGGACAGTGAAGGCCATTCTGAGAAGGTCTCAGATGGAACTGAGGAACAAGGTATTAGAAACTGGAGTAGAGGCCATCCTTGTTACAAAGTGGCAAAGAATTTGGCTGCTTATAGAAGGTGTAATTTTTTTTTTTTTTTTAAGATGACCGGTAAGGGGATCTTAACCCTTGACTTGGTGTTGTCAGCACCACACTCTCCAAAGTGAGTGAACCAGCCATCCCTATATGGGATCCGAACCCATGGCCTTGGTGTTATCAGCACCACACTGTCCCGAGTGAGCCACGAGCCGGCCCTAGAAGGTGTAATTTAAGAGCAATGAA